AGCTTAGGCCCTTGCCTAGCTTTACATATGGGATGTGTCCTAGGAAGCTCAGGGTTAAGATTGTTCAGGGTATTAGGATAGAGATCTTAATGTAACAGCTTTCTTGTGACTCCGTTATAGATTGTGAAAATTCACTTCAAGCCTGCAGTAAAGTTATATTTATATTATAGGTTTTAGCATGGATGTCATAAACCAGCTGCAGTGATGATACACACGAGAAGATAATTCATTGAGCCTTGAAAATAACGATGAATCTAGAATTATAGATCTAATTGGTAGCTTTTACATTTAGTTTATGAGGAACAGTTAGAGACTAGAATATACACTAATAGTGTCTGAAAATGTCTAATCTTCAATTACTAGATACTGCAACTAATGAGACTATACAGCTCCTTGGGTAACATTCCACAGCAGACCCAGGTACTGCCTATACTTTATTTTGTATTGGGGTTTAATTTGTCATAAAAGATTAGTTCTTGGTTTCCATCATACCACAGGAGCCTCAAGCTGTCTGAAGTATGAGATAATGAGTCTAATTCTCCCCTTGGCTCTATGTCATTGTAAGACAGAGGATAATCAGCCCCAAAATCTATTGTCACTTTCTGCAGCTCAGTTGTAATAATTGACTGTATATGAAGGCAGCATAACCTGCTGGTGAGTGTGGCAACCAGATCTCCAGGTCAGTTCCCCATGTATCAACTGAGTTCCCCATGTATCAATGTTAGTTCCCCATGTATCAACAGAGATGCATAAGGCTGAGATCAGGTCCCTATTGTTTATCACATCTTATCGTATCCCATATTATGATATTGTATATTGTCATATCATATCAGCACTGAGAAGAAGACAGCTCTTTCAAAGGGTTGAAAGCCAGAGGGCATGAGACAGAAAACATGGTTAGAATAAGTCCATTTTGCTGGTGAAGAACTAAATAGGATTGGTTAAAAGCATACTAAGTTTGCAATGAAAATAGAAACCCCAATATTCCAGTTTTATTTCACAGAGTTATTCAGGGTGCTTTTCCCCTAACATAACTGAAGATGTTTAGCTTTTTGGAAACCCCCCCCCGACACAATACTATAAAATCTTTCATAAAGAAAGGACCAGCTCTGAAAACACGGCCCAGAAAGATTATGTAACTTAACAGGACTCAGGAGGAACAGGAGCTATTCTGTCTCAGTTCAGTGCTTTAACCCAGCACCAAATCTGTTTTTCCCTGAACGAAGGGAATGGGGAAACTGAATAAATATAAACATTTATGTAAACACTGATGGCTTTTCAGCTAATGAAAGGTATACTTAATTGCTATGTTTATTCATTATGGAATCATAAAGCAGAGGTGGCAGCAGCTATATTTTCAGAAGAAAGCATATAATTTAAAAATCAAGAGACTGCAGCTTTCTTCTCAGAATTACAGAAAACAGTGAACAAATGCAAAACATATAATTTTTCATCTCATACGTAAAATATTTGTTGTCATAGCAACAGGTAAACACTGGATTGGGACTGCCACCAGCACAACTGCTTCCTGATCAGACAGCATTGCTAGCACAACAGGCAAACCAGGTATGGCACGCGGAGTGTTTACTATCAGGCATATTATTTAGGTCTACACTGTGGATGGTACAGGAAGAAGGATTCCCAGCATGCATACAAGATCTGAGATTGAAAGGGAAAAATGACATTTTCACTCTATGGTGGAAAACTCTCAGATGGATGGAGCTAGCTGGAAATTTTATGGCAAAACAATTTTTCATTGGAAAATGCCAGTTTGACCCCAAAATGTTTAGTCTGAAGTATCTTGGGCTCAACAAACTTCACCAAACTCAAAGCAGGGATGTGAGGGATAGGCCTAGCAAGGAAGGCCCGTGTACTGGGAAGGTTGGGCTCCTCTAGCAGAAGCTGAAACTGACCAAAGCATCAGTGTCTTTGAGCAGTTTTGGGGTGCAGGGAGCTTCAGTTCCCTGAACAATTTCAAAAGCTTTTGTTTTGGTTTGATTCAGATACAAACCAAATGGTATTTATTGGTTTGTTGGTATTTCCAACAAACACAAAACTCCAGTTTTTAGCCAGGTGTATATGGGGAGACTCTGCTACCTCTAATGACATTGAACAGTAGAGCGGTGTGAAATTTTACCGTCCATTTCATTTCGACATTGTTTTGACTCATTTTGAGGTCGAAACAGCAAAATCGAAACGAAACAAAGGCCTTCGAAACAGCCTCAAAACAAAGCTAGTTGAAATGTTTCGAAAGTCAAAACATTTTGACCATAGTGCTGGGGATGGGAAGTCAGTACAGCTGGGCTAACTTCCCATCCCCTGTGCTAGATCTGGCCGGGGCCAGGGAGTCATGACTGCCCAGCTGGGCTGATTTCCCATCCTCAGCCCAGCTGGGCTGACTTCCTGGCCCTGGCTGATCTAGCAAAATGTCAAAACAGCCTCACTGCTCAATGGGGACAGGCAAGAGCCCTGGGGTTATTTAGCCCTGCAAGAGCGTCTATGTTGTGACAGACTCCTGGGAGTTGCTGTATAGGGCTTCTCAAATCTCTGAGCTGATGCATGTTATGTCATTGCTATCAACATATTCTGTCTACTCCCAAGCACAGCCCCAGACACAGCCTTGAAAGAAGTCCTCCTGAGACAGTTTCATGGTTGCCATTGATTGAGATTGAGGATGTTATTCTCTGCCCAGCATTAATACTGGCAGCCTGGCGGCTCAGCAGTGTGAAGTGCTCTTTGAGGATTGGTTGGGAGGGTTTTTGGCTTCTGCAAATGTTAATGTTTATTATTATAATGTTTTTGCCATGTGGACAAGAATCATCTACAAAGAACTGCACTGAAACCCCACATTGCATTTCACACTGAATAAACAGCTATTAGATGCTGAAAACCTTTGAATCATTAGCAACAAATATTATCAATAATAATTTGATTTACTGTATATTCTGCTTTTTCCAGGATAGGCTTAGAGTGGCTAACTACAGCTGAGAGTTCAACTGGGAACTTGGGGAGAGTGCTGAATGAAAAGTGCTTATGTGATTTCATCGCAAGGTCCTCCTTAGAATTAACTGGGCAGCACAAGTTCTATAGCACGGGATTAAATCTAGAAAGGATTAAATCTTCCAGTTTTCTATTCGAGCAGTATGAGTCATCTTGGCCCCTTGCTACTAATATTACCATTTCAATAGTTGAAATGTAATCAGATTCCTATTTTAAAATGCTGCTTGTGGTTTCTAGCAGCATATTCTATTAGAAGTCATTTTCATTTCTGGGGAAGTTTTCCAAATTTACGTGTGTCATTACATCCTTCAAACCAATAAGCAAGCATACGTCTAACAGCACCACATGTCTGCACCTGTGTTGTCCCTTAGAATTCCCAGTAGCAAAGTAACAATAGAGCTTATATCCTTACTAGGTTGGGGGGTGGAGCCTACGCTTAACAAGTTTCTTCTAGGGTGACCCCATGCTGCTTCTGTGGGTTGGTTGACTGCATTCATTTGGGACATACCTGATCAGATAAGTGATCAGATCTCAGTTATACAAGAAAAAAAATCTCCCAGATCAAACTGGTCTGCCATTATTACTGATGAAAACCTTTCCTGAGATTTCCCATGAAAACTCCAAGGTGGTAGCAGAGGAAGATTTTTAAAGAATGATTTTAATGTGACTTGTCAGGGGAAAGCTTATTTGACTGCAGAATCTCTACAGGGCTTTCAAGACTCCAATCCTGATGCTAGAGAAAAGGATTCCTCCATACCCTTTGAACCTTTGATGTAGGGTTTAGATTACACATTTCTTACAAGCCTTCACCTCTTCCCAGTGTCTCAACACTCAAGCTAATCATAAAAAGGGGGAAAATGGTAAACCACTTCTCCTGCCGCTGCTGCAAAAAAAGAAAAAAATCACATTTCAAAATCAAATTTTGATCAGGGTCTGCAACTGATTTAAAGAGAACATTTTGCAAAAGCAGGACTGACATTTTTTCCATTGTTAATCTTGAAATATGGAATATCAAAATGCTGTTGGATTTTAAATATTCATCAAATTACAGGCTGCTCTGCTCACACACTTCTAGGCTCTGATCCTGCAAAGGGATAGCCCTAGGACTATTCACTCAACTGCATGCAGAGTAAATAGTCTTAGTATCGCTTCTGATACAAATGATACTAGGTCCTGATCTGAAAGTGCAGCTTTTGCTCCCAGCTAACTCCTTATCTTCCCTACTTGCATTATGCTGCCATGAGTAATGTGAGTCTAACGGGAGGTAGCTTGTTTTGGGGAGGGCAGCTTATAACAAGCTCTTCTTTACTAATGTCCCCCTGTTACAGGTCTTCCCTACTTTAAATTTCATCCCATTAACAAGGGTATGGCCATTTGGAGCAGATATCAATCTAGTAAGTTTTTTTTATATATTTCCTGTTTTTTGCTTGCAGCCATTGTACTTTATTTTCACATATTTATTGTAAGGTGGGTACTTAATAATGGAGAGGCTGATCCTCTTCCAGTGCAGGATGACAAAGATTAAGTCATCATTATATGGCGGCAGGCATGCATACAGAGTACATATTTTACAAAAGGGTAAGACTAACTGACTAAATACCTTTTAGATTCTAAAATGGCCAATCCTGAACAGAAAAGGGCAATGAGATAAGTCATCAGGCCTTTTCTAACTGTAATGTCTATGATTTTTCACAAACCTGCTTGCTCTAAGTCTCAGGTTTTTGAAGAGGATTTTAAACAAATTGGGTAGTAAAGGTCAGGCTTTATTTGTTATATTTTAGAGGGTGGGGAGAATTTAAGTAATCTAATTCATCTAAGCCAGGGATGCTCAGCCCCGGACTTGTTGGCCAATTTTGGCCCACAGCCCCATGTCCTCTGTCCTGAAGGGCTTTCCACAGGTCTGAAAATTTGGTGGTGGGGGAGGGGTGCCACATATCCCCCGTTGCCAAATTTTTAGACCCATTGGGAGCCCTGGGCCTTGCGTGCTGGATCTGGGACCCAATCCCAGAATGCAGGGCGGGCTAAGGGCAGCACTGGGCTCCAGCGCTCAATCCTGGTGTTGGGGGCTGGAAGGGGACAGTGCTGGGTCCCTGGGACCCTATCCTGGCACACGGGGGGGCAGTGCCAAGCCCTCAGGATCCAATCACAGTGAGCAGGGGAAGGGAAGGGGCAATGTCAGGCCCCCTGAGACCAATCCTAGTGCACAGGACAAAGATGGTGCAGTGCCAGATCTCACGGTCCAATCTGGCTTGCAGACTAGCCCTGTGCCACTCATATGGCCTGTGTGACCAAGAGGTTGAGCACCACTGATCTAAGGGGATTTAGGGCCTTTGTACACACTACCAAATTGGCCTTTAAAGTGGCTTAAATGCCCTATTGTACCGCTTTAATGGTGCGACTGTTTACACTGTCAATGGCATATTGCATGTTAAATGACTTTCGGATGCAGCAAAATAAAACATGTCTGAGGTGTTTTAGTTTGCTACCTTATAGCCACAGAGGGAAGCACCGGGCCCTGTATAGCTCAGAGGCTGTGCAGCTCGACAGCAGCCCATGCAGGCAGGCTCCCCTGAAGGAAAAAGAAATGCGGTGAGCGTGATCTTTTTTTTTCTCCCCAGAGCCTGCCTGCCTGAGCAGTGCGGGGGCCCGGTGCTTCCCTCCATGCCTGCAGGAGGGCTGGTGCTTCCCATTGTGGCTGCGGTGGCCCTGAGACCCACCACTTTAATTTAGGGAGAATTAAACCGAAGTAAACCCCTGTGGTCTGTACAACCAGCACTAGTGCTTAAGTGCAACTTTAGCCCATTCCGTTGACTTCCATGAAACTCCATTCATGAATCTACTTTTGCATAAAAGCAGTGAGGAAGAGGAGGATCCTCCCCCCCTTCACCTTTTGCATTAACTGTTTTCTAGGGACTTGCACAAGGTGCAGTAGGATCATCCTTAGGTGCCTAGGTCCACTTTACACATGTAATAGATAGAACAGATTCTGGCTCACAGTACCAACCATCTCTTCTCCCATCATGCAGGTGAATGGTGCAGCAGGAGGGGTGCCAATTACACAGACACTGCCAACAGGAGCAGGTGGAGCGAATACACAACATCTGGTGCCGCAACAAGGAGTGAGTTCCTTCTTTAGTTTTGCTGCAGACGTTTGTCTGAAACCCTTGCAAAGGCATCTGTTCACATTATCTCTGCCTATGTCTAGAATCATAGTTATGGTGTGCTCACAGCTCTCCCTGCCACTTCCTGCATGCAAACGATCCTGAGAAAGACCAACTCAGGGAGGAACTGTATTGCTGGTAGCACAGCCTTCTTACACACCTAGGGAAACATGTGCTTGTGGTGATCTCTGATTTTGAGGTAAATGAGAAATCTGCTTGGCATTTGAAAAACAGGAGATCCTGCATTTCACACTTACTTTAGCTGGAAGAGCAGAAATATTGAGAGATGGAGGAAGGATGGCAGACATCTGGTTATTGTTACAGCACTGTACCTTTGGTATAAAATAATTGTAAAGTATTCTATCTCGCTAAACTGTCTGACCAATCATAGTTTTATACTGAATTTCTCAACAGCTTCCATTTAATAATATTTTTCAGGTGCTTCCACTTATACTAGGACAAATGGGGCCACAGGTAAGAAAGGAAGATGCTTTAGATCCCATATTGTTATTATTCAGCAGGGGTTCTCAGTCATTTGTACTTCTGAAAATGGAAGTAGGCACTTTTACCTTAACCAGCACTTCTTGCCTTTTTAAAGAATTAGATAATTGACTTTTAAAAAGGTTTTCTAGACAAAGAAAATGCTGTAGACCTCATTTATCCACCTCCACTTGATGCAAAGCCCCAAGGATAACTTTTTGTTAGTGTGGACAAGCTAGGGATTTGTACAAATTTCATAAAACATGTAAGGAAGAATATAATAGGGACACAACAACAGATTGTGCTGAAGGGAGGCAAGTCATGGACTTTCTCAAGGATAAACACCAGGCTTGATTTGATTCAATATCTTTAGTAATGGCCTTGGCACCAAAAATTGGAAAGGCTAATGCAATTTGCTGATGACACAAAGTCAACAGACATCATTACGGAGGAGGAAGGCAATATCATGCATGGACTTCATGACCTTATCTTGAGAACTGGAATAATAGAAATGGGGAGAATTTAACAGTACAAAAAGCAAGCCTATGACAAAAATATCTTCTCTAAGCTGGGAGCTTATTCATTGGCAATGACTGTAGACATTGGTGTACGTGGCATTGTCAGTCAATCACAAAATGAATAGAAGCTACCAATGTGATGCATCTTTGGAAAAAAACACCACCATGGTCCTGGTTTAAGTTGAGATGTTTACTGCAGCGATAGGGAAGCATTAATGGCATTGTACAGGGCCCTAGTGAGACATCATCTGGAATTTTAAATATGGTTTTGTTTTCCCATGTTCAAGAAAGCTGAATGCAAATGAGAACAGGCACAGAAAAGGCTATGGAGATTATCAGGGAAATTGAAAGCTTATCTTTTTAGAAGAGAATAAAGGAGCTTGGATTATATAGCCAAGCAAAACAAAGACTGAGAAGGGAATTAATTGTAATCTATAAACAGATCAGGGGAATAACCACCCAGGAGATGAGGAAACTACAAAAACTAAAGGATGATATTGGCATAAGAACAAATGGGTATTACCTGGTTATAAAAAAAATTAAGCTGAAAATTAGCAAGAGGTATCTAATTATCATGGCAGTCAAGGTCTAGAATAGCATCCCTATAGGAGTAAAAAAAAGAAAGACAGACAGAAAACCTAACTACTTTTAGGAAATCCAATCAATTTATGAAGGGGAGTATTTATCATAGAGGACTGCTGTTATGAAAGGACTCAATGAGTGAGCGCATCTATTCTTACTCCATGTTGTGGTGGCCCTTATAATATGCATGAGATGGTTCCTACCAAGAAACAGGGATGGTGAGAGAGGCCAAAGTAGTATGACTTCCCCGATGCAGGTTTCCATGACAGTCAGATCTTGACTATCTACAAAATCGCATGGGAATACACATCAGATGAGCAGAACCGGCCTTGAGAGAAAATAGTGCTCTGGGTGAACTTGTATTTTGGTGCCCTCATCATTGCTGAGCCCCACAACCAGGCAACTTCCATCCTCCCGCCCCCCACCAAGTCCATGATGCTGCTGCACACAGAGGCAGGTGGGCAAGGGTGTGCGGTGCAGTCCAGCAGGGAGGCAGAGTGGCTTGGTACATTGGGCAGGTGGGTGACAAGTGACATGCCTGGCCTGACTCCTCTTGAGCAGTGGCTGAAGATGGGGTCGGGCTGGCTTGGGCATCACTTCTCCTGTTTGGGATAATGATCAACCCAGGCAGGGGAAGAATACTGCTGTGAATGTGGGCTGTTCACACATGTGAGCTGTGAACATGGGCTGCCCCCCTGCCCCCGACCATGGCACTCTAGGCCGTGGACGGTATTGCCCACCTCTAAGGCTAGCCCTGTGCATGAGCACTCCACTTCTTGCAAAACAGGCAGAGCAGGGAACGTACCCATTTATGTTCCCTGGGCAAATTGGAGGGTTGGGCCAAAAGAAATCTCTGAGGTTCAACAAGGACAAGTGCAAAGTCCTGCACTTGGGACAGAACAATCCCATGCACCGGTGCAGGCTGGGGACTGACCGGCTAAGCAGCAGCTTTGCAGAAATGGACCTGGGGATTACAGTGAATAAGCTGAATATGAATCAATAGTATGCCCTTGTTGCCAAGAAGGCTAACAGCATGCTGGGATGTGGACAAGTTGCAGAGAGTCCAGCGGAGAGCACCAAAAATGGTTCAGGGGATGGGACACATGACTTCTGATGAGAGGCTGAGGGAACTGGGCTTATTTAGTCTGTAGAAGAGAAGACTGAGAGGGGATTTGATAGCAGCCTTCAACTACCTGAATGGGGGGTTTGAAAGAGGATGGAGCTAGACTGTCCTCGGTGATGGCAGATGACAGAACAAGGAGCAATGGTCTCAATTTGCAGCAAGGGAAGTTTAGGGTGGATTTGAGGAAAAACTTTCTCACTAGGAGGGTGGTGAAGCACTGGAACAGGCTACCCAGAGAGGTGGTGTAATCTCCATCCTGGGAGGCTTTCAGGCCTGGCTTGACAAAGTCCTGGCTGGGATGATCTAGTTGGGGATGGTCCTGCTTTGAGCAGAGGGTTGGACTAGATGACCTCCTGAGATCCCTTCCAACCCTAATTTTCTATGATTCTCTGATTGTCTGATAATCCCAGATAATGTTATTTACATGAGAGAGCAGCAGCCAATCTCCAAACGTGGGTAAACAAAACCCTTTTTCATGAAAGTATTTGGGGTTAAGTTATCAAAGAGCAGTCAAGAAAAGGAAATAAAGTCAATGAAGTTTGGGAACAAGTTAGTGAATCACTTTTTCAGCTGCTGGCCTGGCTTTGGGTTTAAGGCACAGTACTGAAGAGGTCCCACTTACCCACAAAGGAATCTTGGTTTTGGACCTAACCAGTGGAGCCCTCACTTATTCCAAGGCTACTAACCTAAAAGGAAGTTCATGACTATTCAGGTCAATAGAGGAAAGTTGTCTATATTAGGAAAGTTTTATTTTACCTAAATTGCTTTAAAAAATCAATGATGTCTAATCAGTACAAACCCTAAACTGGTTTTGCTTCTTCTAAATCCATTTGGCTTGTGTATGGGTAATTACAGAATTAAACTAAACTGATTTAAGACAGTTAACCCAGTTTGAGTGCATCAGCATTAGAGGGTTTAATCTACACTGGTTTAAGCAGATCAATTCCAAATCAGTCTAGCTGAATTAATGCAGCTTTCCTAATACAAATTAAGTTTACATCCTGATTGTAATTTTGCGTGTCTGCTTCTAGTTTTCCTGGTGAAAAGGAAGAGTCCCCTTGTCCTCTCCTAGGAAAACTACTAACATATCAAATCTAGTTTAAAATGAAAAGAAAGCTCTTTCGCGTTGATCCTACTTTGTGCTAATTTCATTTCTTATATTTTTGGTTGGATTTCAGGGACTAGGTGTGAGCTCAGAGGAAATGGTAAATAACTCATTCCTTTCTATTTTCATTTTATAAAATGTGCTAATAAATAAACTCAGTAACTCCTAGAGTTATGAGATAAGCAGTCTTCCTATCTCATCTCTCACACAGGCCTGTATCAAGTGTTTCAAAATTGCAATAAGCACTACAATAGACAATTAGGGAATGATCAAAGAGAAAAAATTATCTTGGTCCTGTCCAGTAGAGGTTGGATTATATCCCAAGGCATGAGTGTTTCTATCCCTTCAGTGAATACTTTCCTCTAAAAGAATGGTAGATTTTTCATTAGCTTCATAAATGTTTATTCTTTTTATTTATTGGGCAGGGTTTTTTGTTTTCTTTTTCTTAAGAAAGGTCTGTTAATCCGTCTAAGTTCTTAGTCTCAGTGATATATTAAGACTGAAAGGTGATTAATTTACAGTTGATGAATAGAAATGCTTATTTCTACGCATTAAAACTTAAGGAACTTGCTGTTTCATTTAAATCTTCATGCTCTTGTGTTATAAGAAAAGAACAAGGAACAATGGCAAGGAACAATGGTCACAAACTGACAGAGAGCAGATTTAGGTTAGATTTCAGGAAAAACTTCTTCACAGTAAGGGTGGCCAGAATCTGGAATGGGCTTCCAAGGGAGGTGGTGCTCTCCCCTACTTTGGGGGTCTTTAAGAGAAGGCTGGATAAGCATCTGGCTGGGGTCATTTGCCCCCAGCACTCTTCCCTGCCTAGGCAGGGAGTCAGACCCAATGATCTGTTGAGGTCCCTTCCTACCCGAGCATCTATGAATCTAAGACGCACATGAGAGCAGTATTTGCCTCCCTCAGTTGTTTATTACTTTGCTTGCAATACATCTTTTGGTAGTCTAAACTATATAGTCCTAGACTTCTCAATTAGTCCTTCTAATGAAACCTCTGTGTCTCTTATGAGTTCATAAAATAGTGAAACTACATGAATTAACAATGTACAAAACAATCCAGTGCCAACACAGGACTTCACTTGCTGCCAGCCCTCTCTCCAATGACCAAATCCACCTGCATGCTAGTGCAAGATTTTTGTTCATGTTGATGCTGGCTCTATCCATACCATTTCTTCTAAGGAAAAATCTTTAAATGATTTTCTGCAAGCTTGCTTTGCTTGGGTAGTGGCTTTAATTGGGGAGGAGGAAAAGCCCTAAGCTTCCTTCCTGCTTTGCATCCTACACCCATGGACATGAGTGGGTCTCAAAATAGAGCCAGTGGCTTTTCCCCTTGCTCTAGGAAGGAGTGTAGTTGCTGGCCTATCGCAGAGCAGGGTGCTAGTCAATTTGAATAAGGATTGAGAGATCTGGCTTCTAATGATCAGGGACAATTCCTTCAGAGGTTACCAGAGCTATTTAGACCACTCTGCTCCTGACTACCCAGAGGACCCACATCTTTCTTTTCCCTGTGCAGCAAACAGATGCTCAGATCCTCGCTGGATTAATTTTACTTGGATTGCAAGGACTTTTCCAAGCAAATCAGGCAGTGGTCAACTCAGAGGGCCCGGATATAGTTTTTCCAGCAGGACAGACAGGTGTGAATCAGGGATCTCCAGGTCAGCTACCATCTCCTGAGGGTACAGCAGATATGTCTGGTGCAACTCTACCTGCAGGCATCAAGAAGGGGTCACAAACCTCTGAGAGCATCACTGAGGCAGCCAGTGGGGTGTACACCACTCCACCTGGCTTTAGACAGCTGGATTCTGAACAAGTGACAGATGCAATTTTTGCAGAACCTGCCATCTTGCTGAACATGGAAGCAAATGAAATCCAGGCACCACCCACTACTGACATTGGGACTGGAACAATACATTCTATTAATCTCCATATGCAAGGATATGATAATAAGATAGGTGTATCCCCTGTGAGAGGAGACAGAGCCCTCCCACTAGCTAACATAGATGTTAAAGCCCTGAGAGAGTATAAGAGTAGAAGTGCCTAATGCCATGCCATCCATGTGTTCATCATATAAAAAAAAGTTCCTATTTCTGTAATTCTTAGTTCAAACCCAATAACCATTGTAACACAGACAACAGGTTAAGATGCAGCAAAATCAGATGATGACCATAGTTGGCAGCTTCCCTATATATTTTATTAACAGGGAAATACATACCTAAAGGCTGCACTTGAGTTTATGTATACAAATAGCTATCAATTCAACTTCATGCTTCATAGAAAAGGCACTCCTACTTATAGGAATCGACTAGGATGTTAAAGTCAAATTTCCTAATACAGTGGAATTGATTTTAATTGTGAAGCTGCTCTCACAGACTCGACTATCGTTTGGGAGCACAGCATGCATGAGTGAAATCACACATCCCCCATAGAATATTTACAGTAACAGGGGCTAATTCTGTGCTCTTTTAGAGTAATCCATGGGGCATAACCCATAAAGAGCCTTGTAAAATGTGTCAGGCATAACAGCCCAGACACTTTGAGGCATCTCCTTTATATTAAAATCATTGGGAGTTAGATACCTTTGAGGACCTCAGCCAATGCAGATAGGTCTTCTGGGTAAGAAGTCTATTAAGCACAATAAGCCAGATTCCATATTGGTGTAAACTGGTGTAACAGGATGGCACTCAATGGAATTATGCTTTTTATAGTAGCTAAGGATTTGGCACTTTTCCTGTGAGAGTATAAAATGGGACTTCATTCAGCAATCTGATGGGCCATAAATTCTCCTTTCTCTATCTGAATTTTCAGATTCTTGGGAGTTGTTATTACTTTTATGTCTGAACATTTTTCATAGGCAAGAGCAGTGAAGCATAAAGCTATGTACTCAGATGCAATAAAGCAGAAAAAGATGCCATAATAAAGATTCTTTAAAGGGCATATGAGGCTGATTGATTTTTTAAAATAAGAGTCCAGGTGAAGATTTCAATGCATGGGAGGATCCAGAGGGGGTGTAGGGTGGGAGGAGTTCTTTGAGGGCAGTAGGGAGCTGCATGGGCAGCAGCGCTGGGGGATCCAGGAGACTGCGGGTCTGGAGTGAGGGGCACCAGCAGAATTGGGGGGGCAGGGGGCTGTGGCTTGGGAGTGAGGGGCATCAGGGGGGCGGGGAGCTGTGGGTTAGGAGCATGAAGCACAGGTAGGGCCAGGGGGATGAAGGTTGAGAGTGAGGGCAGCAGCAGGGCTGGGGAGGCTGTGGCTTGAGGGTGAGGGGCACAGGTAGGGTATCAGTGCCCCCACCCACAATCATACCCCCCACACAGGTGTCCTATTTTGAAACTGGAAATATGGTAACTAGGGGTGCATAGATAGAGCATTTTTTGGCTGATACTGATGGCTCATTTTAAATGAGCCAGATTGGCCAATACTGATCCGATAGCCAATATGCAGCTGGACAGCTTGGAGAGCAGCTTCCAGCTGGTAAGTCTGGGTGGGGCGGGGGTGCATGCAGGGGGCAGATGGAGGCCCCTGTGGTGAGGGAGGGAGTGGGGCTGGTGCTGGGACAGGCGCTGCACTCCGGCTCCTTCCCATACAACAGACTTACCAGCCGGAAACTGCTCTCCATGCTGCTGGGTTGCACTCCTGGCTGCCTGCATGCTGTACTGTGGCTGAGCATATGAATAGGGCATTTATCAGCCATATTATTGGCCACATCAGCCAAAAAAAGCCAATTGCTGAGACTATGAATTTTCCTTATATTGGAGCCAATCCAATATGGGACTGATGTATCGATGCACCTCTAATGGTAACCCTACCTTTGGCCAATTCTGCAGAGAAGAAGTTAAGAAAGCAGGTACTGTTTGTTCATCAAAGGCTGGTGTGGACATGCTCCTCCTCCTCCTCCTCTCAATCCCCCAAACACAAAACCATGGTTCTTGACTGTCAAAAGACCTCTAACTTAAGTCTGCTTTGTTTCATTGCAGTATCAACCCACTTCAGTGCTCAAAATCTTAGTACTCAGGCATTAACTTAGGACCCAGTTATTTTGGGTGGCTCCTGGAGCTCTTAACCCCTGGGTTGTCTGCACATTAACACCTTAAAGTGGCTTTAAGGCCCAGCCCCAGCCTCAGCCCCAGTCCCAGGTCCACTCCCTCCCTCCCTCCCTCATTATGAGGGCCTTGATCTGCCCCCCCCCCGCATACCCCTCCCCCCACAACAGACTTATCAGCTGGACGCTGCTCTCCATGCTTCCCAGCTGCATATCAGAATCGGATCAGTAACAGCCGATATGGGTTGTTAAAAACCGGCCATCAGTATTGGCCCCAAAATTCTCTATTGGTGCATCCCTAGTTTTAGGGAGCGATTTTGTACCCGTGTTGGTCTGAGACAAAGAAAAACATAAAACTCTAAAACTCTGGGTTCAGAGGTGGTATGTTTTATTAGACCAACTAAAAACTAGCAAAAAAGGTCTTTCTTTACAAACTTTCTGGCACATACATCTTTCTTTAGGCTGAGGAGAAATGAAAGATTGTTAAAGTCCTCTTAGGTAGAAAATAAACTTCATTTTGCACAGAGGAAGTTGAGGCTAAATGTATGCAAGTGAAAGTCACACTACTCTAGGGCTGGATTATCTCTGAGCCACACTACCCAGCTCCTGTTCCATTAACATGCGACCACTCCCCACAACTGTGCCACCCAAGTTGGAAGGCCTCCAGTTTCCCAGGATCTCTCACACCTTCGCCCGGAGAGCAAGGATAGAAGCCTGTCCTGATGCACCAGCTCTCTAGTGGCAACTCACAGCTTCAGCTCCTAGACCTGCCCCTGACACCAGGCCTTGGTGGCAAGTCATAGCTGTGTAGGTGGGGAAGTCAGAATCGGTTGCTAAACAAAGTATGTGACAGCTCCACACTCCAAGCTAGCAGTAATACTGATCAACATTTGTGCAGCGCACAGTGTAAGGTGTTACAGGACCTTTACTAGCCAAATCCAGATGTGTTTTGTATTTGCATAACACAGTGGGGAGTGAAAAGCCATGGGAATGAACAAGACCAGGTGGGATACTCCTCGGACCCAATGTTTAATATGCAGCCTTTGC